AGAATAAGAGAGTGCACACGCTGTATTGGGCATGGGCATGATGCACTGAATGGCAGCTGTACATGACAGGAAGACCAGACTGACTGCCTTGGTGACGTTGTATGAAGTTGCTTTATTTTCTTTTTGACATTAGTACCCACATGAAGTCAATGGTACCCCTATGTATCTCTACGAAGTGGCCACCGAATCCGTCTGCGAGTCAGCAGCCAGACTTCTCTTCATGAGCATCAAGTGGGCCAAGAGTGTCCCAGCCTTCTCCACCTTGTCCTTACAAGACCAGGTAAGGCACCCGTGGTGGGAATGGCATTGGCCTCGCCTGTCTGTTAAAAAAGGCTCAGAACTCTGGGTTCTGAACCTTCAGCCCTAGACCTTTAAATCTGTAATGGACTTCAGCAGTTCTGAAGTTCAGGGCAGAGTTTTGGTCTGTCCCTAAAAACCAGGCAGTGATTTAGAAACTGCCTTCCTCCAACTGTTATTTCATGAAGCAAGCGAAAATCAAGCCAGAAGGAAATCTAATATAAAGCTAATATTATGGGAGGGCAAATTCTAGTGGAAAAGTCACCAGGCTGCAGACCAAAATCAGTGTGCCAAAACTGCTTCTCTACTTGTGGGTCAACTTTCCCCTCCTCTTACTTTGCTATTTTGGGATGAGAAGGGCTTAGTTAAGCGTATGGTCCAGGATACAAGTGAGGTGATTTCTCCTCCCCTCCCCTCCCCTCCCTTCCCCTCCCTCCTCTCCTCTCCTCTCCTCTCCTCTCCTCTCCTCTCTCCCTTGTTTACACAGCCAAAATTTTTTCCTTATTCATGTTGGCTTCAGTGAACTTACAATTACACCGATATGGTGGAAGCAGAATTTGGCCAACCCTCAATATTTTTCACTGTTAATTAAAATCTTCCTTAATTTATCTTGTTTTCATCTATGACAATTTGCCTTTGCCTCAAGTAAATCATATGTGAACCATATGAGCTGAAGCAATTTCTTAATGACTTGATTCTTGATGAGGACTCAGTGTGCTTTGTATAATGCACTAATTTAAAAAAAAAAAGTAATCAGATAATTATAAAATGGAAGGGGGGAAATCTATGCAAAGCTCCAATCATAAAAGACATCTAATACTTTGATATGATTGAGCTAATTTCCCAATACAGTAACTAGAAACGTTGTACCTTAGATGCTACATAGCAGTCATCAAGAGGAACTAGTTCCTTTCCATGGATGCACATTGCAAGTGTTGCAGTTGATATGCAAACACGCATTTTGAACAGAAAGAAAAGAGCTTCTTAGGAAACCAATAGTGTTTTCTACCTAAAGGAAAATCATGATGGTCACAATGTGATATAAAGTTAAGGGAGATTGAAATGTTCCTTACCTAGCACCAGACCCACGTTTTGAAGCCCTTGTTGAAGCGCCCTGGAGTGAGCATGAGGGAAGCAATGAGATAGGGCCTAGAAGGTTACACACACCGCGAAGAAGACAGCGGTCCCAGTGCAGCATGCTGCTCTCTAATGTTGTCTTCTGCTGCTGCTAATCCCATGGAGCACCAGATCTGCCATACTAAGCAACCAAAGAAACAGGCCCA